AAGAAGCAGGTGACACCAGCAAGAGTCTATTATGGGACTCACAGGGCAGAACTGGGAGAGAGTGTCATTTTTGCACCAGATTAAGATGACAGAGGCTGCTGCAGGAGCAGAGTAGGCAATGGGGCAGAGGACCCTGGCTGCCTGCCTGACAGAACACAGATGATCCCCCAATGACCCCCCCCAGAAGGATGAGCTAGTGAGGGGTATTGCATTTAGAATAGCTTATTGTTTTGTATGAACTCTCTTTTGCTTTACATGATTAAGGATAAAAGAGCATAAAGATATTAAAATGGAAAAAGTGCACATATGTTGACTACTTTATAACTGCTGAGTGTGCCTGAGAGAGCTAAAATGTAAACAGAAGCTTCATGTCTTTGAAATGGAGTTTGGAGAAAGAGGTGTGTTTAAGTACTGGGGAGTCTGAAGGGTCAACACTGCACCCAGAAGGGGTAGGCCACTAGAGTGTGGGTTTCACAGCTGGTGGAGGGTGACAGATAGAAGGTCTGTACCTTAGAGCGTGCTACATACCCCAACACTGGGTCAGTGGCTGGAATCTGTTCATGATCCAGAAGTTTAGCACACCCCAGGGGATATAGAACACAGAGGCTTAGATTCCCCTCACAGTGGGTAGCTGCAAGGGAGCATTCATGAGGATCTGTGACATGTATTCCCAACTGATTAGATCCAATAACAGGAGAAATAGACAAGAAAAACATTAAGGGGCATAAGGGAGGACAAGGAAAAGAATACTGTGGCTCTGATTGACAGGTTTTTTTAAGTCTGCTTTTTGCCACCATCCCTGTGCAAAGCAAGACAAGCCAAGAGGTTCCAGCTCCCCAGGCAATTCCCCAGCATGAAGGAATCTGAGGATTATCTAGACCTTCCATGAGAGCTCCGATGCTCTTGACTACCTTGCTCCCAGCACTCAGGGCAAGGGCCATTCCAAAGAGAAAGAGGGTATGGCTAGTTGCCACAGCATCATCCAATTTCCAGCTGCTGGAATGGCCCCTGCAGTCTGCTCAGTTTTATGCTGGTGACCTGGACAGTTCTTTGCCACCGTATGATCAGGAGAACATAAAGATGGTTTTAAATGCCACGTTTGCCCTCTCTCTTGCCCTCTGCTGTGTTCAGCTCAACCTGAATAGAGAATTTGGCCCTTTATATTACAGGAAACTGCAGGTGCTCCAAGCATCCCTGAAACAAAGCTAGAGAAGTGACATACTGGTTCAGTTTAATTCTATGGTCCTGATCCAGTTACCTTGATGGAATACATTGCTTCAGGATACCCTCAGACATGATAAAAATAGAACTTGGAAAGTATGTCTGAGGACTAATCTCTGCATTCAGTTCACTAATGTAACATTTTGGAATTACTCTTGATATACACCAGTGTAAGAGAGCAGACTTTGGCTGTATGTCAGAAGAGAATTGCCATATTCAGTGACACTCTTGAATCCTATCCATCTATGTATAAAGAATTCTTATTTTGCCACTTGGTAGAATACATTGCTTCAGTATAGTTAGGGTTATTTAATTTTCCCAAATTTTGGCAATAAGCTGTTGGGTTTCCAGTCATGAGCACAAATACATTTTGGATTATTGGAGATGTTTACTACTACATTATTGATTTATGCCGTATGAAGTCCATACTTACATAAAATTGACATAATAACAGATGAAAACCTTTGAAGGGGCCAATGTTGTGTAACTCTGACAATCATTAACATTAACTAACAGGTTTATTGACTTGTAAAATGACTTGAATCAGGTGGTAATGGCAAATTTGATAGGATGTTGCATGAGAAATGCCATTTTGTAATTCAGTCTGCAACTTATTTATTTATATTAGATTTTAGTATTAACAACGTACACATGAATTTACAATACAAACTTCATTACTCAAGTGACAAAATAATTCATCCTGTTGCCAAGGCCACTTCTCCAATCTACAGTCCAGAAAAAATATCTTCTTTAAATTAATAAAATAATTTATTTAGACTCTAATCCTCCCAACATATATATACTTATCTTAATGCAAGGAAATAATCCCAATTACATTACACACACAAATGTTTGCAGGACTGGGGCCTTAAGTGTGGATACAAGTCTTCAAAAATCTGGACTAGAAAAAAAACCTCACAAGAAAAGGGAGTTGTGTTTGAATTGAATAACAATTAGAGATTGTCAAATAGTGGGCTCAAATAGAATTATTTAATCAAAGATTATTAACCAGAGATTAATACAGCAAGAATAGATCCATCACCACTCTTAGTATAAGGTAAAGAGCTGGCCTTTATGGATATGGCTACACTGCAATTAGACACCTGTGGCTGGCGTGGACCAGCTGTCACAGGCTAGTGGGACTCAGGCTAAGGGGTTGTTTACTTGCAGTGTAGACGTTCAGGTTTGGGTTGCAGCCCAAACTCTGGAACCCTTGTAGGGTCCTAGAGCCAGGACTCCAGCCCAAGCCCAAACACCTATGCCACAATTAAACAGCCCCTAAGTTCGAGCTCCACTAGCCTGAGACAGCTGGCATAGGCCAGCTGCGGGTGTGTAATTGCAGAGTAGAGACACCTTGTGTCTCTCTCCTTTATAACTGGTGGGATTCTGGCAGTCTGCACTCCCAACCTAACCTCCCAAGCCTTGTATAGGGTGCTAGATAAAAAAAACTTTTTGGAAGGAAAAGTACTTTCCCATGATTAATTTACCATGTGTACTGTTCTCCGAATTAATGATGGAATTTCTTCTATGTCCTCAGTTTACCTGATTGATGAGCAAAAGGGAATCTCTAAACCAGTCATTATTAACAGTTGTGACAACCAACAGTTCTTAATGAATTAAAAACAGTTTTCAATGGGTCATTATTTCATCCATTACAGAATCCATCTTCCACAAGTATCCCTCATCAATTGCCCAGTACCCCTTTTCAATCACTTAGTTTTGTTTATAACATACTTCTGTAAACACTTTTCGTTAATTTAAAGGGTCTTTTTCTCTGGAGACTTGGATTCCAGTAGAGCTGGAGATGCTGAGGATAATTAGATACAGTCCAACACTCAGGTACATGAAATTCCTGAATACAAATCACACATGGGTTAAAAACCTACACTTTAGGCCTTAGAACACAGACACACTCTTACTAACATTGTGAAGATTCTGGGAGAATAGTTAATATGCCAATTAATTTAATATAGAAGGAAAAGAAGCCTAAAAAGGTTAATATTTACAAACATGATAGATTTCCTGTTTTTCTCCTTCTAGGCAGGCGAGAAACACCATGGCAACAGCTCCTCTCTTATGGGATTTTGGCACTTATACTTCTGGTTCAGCCATTACCATGAATGTGCAGCAGAACACGAGATATAAAACAAAAAGTTATACACATTTTAAAATATGAAATATTTTTAGTCCAGGTCCTGTTCACAATTTGGCTACAGGTTGTGCCAATTCTTAAGTATTAGTGGTTTTCTGTAGCAGCCATTCTCTGGGGATGAGCTTTTCAAAAGTGCTCAGTGCTGGTCCAACTCTGCTCCCCCTGAAATCAGTGGGACTATCTAAGGGTTCTCTGTTGATCTTCTCCTTAATTCAAAATTTACCCATTAGGCAACAAAATAATCTCATAGTTTTGAGACCTTTTAAGCCTACTAGTTGTCACAATCAAGCAAAAAAATAAAAAAAAAAACCAATCAAAGGCCACATTTAAATAAAAAAACCTCAACATTTTAAATCTTGTCTATTCAATTTACATATTTACTGTGTATGGTTAATTGGAATCACACATTGAAAAAGACAGTCATCTCAACAGACACAGCCCTCGGAAACTCCTAATCCTTATATCATGCACAACAAAACAAGATGAAAGGTCTGTTTCATCCTCCCCTCCCCCCATCCCCCTTCCCCGACACATACAGGTAAGAAGGCATGGTCTAAAATTTTCAGTGCACTGCACTAGGATTTAGCCATGCAACTCCAATTCACATTAATAAAAGCTGTGCTAATCTTGTGGCAGCACACTAAACTCATACCTCCAAAGCATTTATAGAGCAAGAGGCTCTTATAAACACACTTTCATTTTCAAATAAGTTTGCTACAGAGCGAAGCGAAGGTAACAGTAGTGCTTGTTATTGCCTTCCCAAAACTCATCATTGCGGTGATGTTCGAATTTCTACCTCCCTGTCATTGTAGGGTATGTTTTTCTGTCCTCTGTTTTCAACCTTTGATTTCTCACTGCTTTTCTTATTACCTAAAGCTGGCTAAATTGTTTGTTCACCTTTAAGATAGAGATGGAGCAAAACCAGAACTTCAAATTCAAACATCTTTCAATTTGGGAGTGAGACTGGAAGTTGGATCCAAGTTCCTGAATCGAAACCTACCCTTTGGATTGTAGTTCCATATGAGTCATATGAATATCTGAAAGAAGCCTTGTTTGTCATTTGAGTACAGATGCAACCAAAATATTTTAAGTACCACTGATCTTATTTTCACTATCTGAGATGGTAAAAATCTCCCCAAATGAGCAGATTTCAATAGATGTCCAATATTTGGAGTTAAAGTGGAGAGCTATTAAATGACAATTTTTAACCTAACCCTAAATCAGGATCCAAACACCACTCCCTTGCCCATTTCCAACAGAAATAAGTAAAATGGCAAATTTTTAAAGCTGCGAAGATGTTTCTTCTAAAAAAGGCTCCTGGATTCTCATAACTGGATTTTGTAACTGATCTCCACAGAAAAAACACAGGAAAAGAGTTATGTTATAGGCCTGATCTACACTTAAAATTTAGGTTTACATAGCTACTGCACTCAGGTCTGTGAAAAATCCACACCCACGAGTTTGATGACCTAACCTGTGGTATAGATACAGTTAGGTCAATAGAAGAATGTTTCCGTCATCTAGTCAGTGTCACTGAGGCCTGATCTACACTAGTGGGGGGAGGGAATCAATCTAATTTATGCAACTTCAGCTGTGTGAACAACATAGCTGAAGTTGACGTACTTACATCCATTTACTGTGGCGTCTTCTCTGCGGTAAGTCGATGGCTGATACTCCCCCGTCAACTCCGCCTGTGCCTCTCACCCTGGTGGAGTACCGGTGTCGATGAGAGAGTGCTTGGCAGTCAATTTATTGCATCTAGACTAGACGCGATAAATCGACCCCGCTGGATTGATCACTGCCCGTCGATCCAGCCGGTAAAGTAGACAAGTCCCCAGTGAGGTGAGGTTCCTGCCGCGATAGAAAGTCCCTGTAGGTGTCTGTACTCTGGGGTTATGCTGGAATAGCTATGGTGCCATACCTATGCTGTTATAAAAGCCATAGTGTACACATGACCAAAGTGTGAAAGTCACACATCTTTAATACCATGGATGTACGTTTCAGTAATGAAAAGCTTGTTGGCTAAGGGAACAAACGACCTAAAGGAAAGTTGGAAAGTTTCAGTAGGTATCTGTTTTAGATCACCAGTTCAGAGAACAGTGATCTGAAAAATTCCTAGACCAATTCTCTGAGTATATGAAACCACAATGCAGAGTACATTGGGGGGACTTTTAACAACACAGTCATCTTTATATTTACTAATATAGCCAGACAGGCATCATCAGCTATCTTCCTTCCTATATAAAAATGAAATGTCTAATCTAGGAAGAGGAGAAGAGAATCAATAAAGAGGAGAACCAGAGAAAAAATGTAGAATCTATTTTTACTAACAGAGAGTAGTTGAATAAGAGGCAAATTTAGAACCAAAGCTGACAAACTAGTCAAATTAAACATAGGTGCTTGCACCCTGTCTTCTTTCTTCAATATTCCTTCTCAAAACATTTCTTCTTCTTTAAAAAAAAGGGGGGGGGGCAACAATAAGACATATGTGGGATATCACCATTTAACACACACGACTATGGTCCCATTTCACTAGGCTCATGGACCCATGACTTCAATGGGAGGAAGACTAGGGCCACACAGTGATGGGAAAAATCTAAACAGCAGTAATGATGAAAGAAAACTGAAAGCACGAGTGGACAACAATATTGAAAAGAATTTTCAATGCAAAATGGCAGCAAAAAAAAAAGTCAAAACATAGGTCAACAAATTTGGGCTGCAAATGCAGAGGCATGTGGTAGAAGAGTCAGAGTAGCAGGTAATAATCCTTTGTTTATGGCTCTGGTGCTACCACACCTGCACTAATATGTTCACTTTCAGGAAGTCAATTACTGAGAACGTTAGGACATAAAATCATAGAAATATAGGGCTGGAAGGGACCTTGAAGGTCATCTAGCCCAACCCCCTGTGGTGAGGCAGAACCAGTTGTACATATGCCTCCCTGACAGCTATTTGTCTAACCTGTTCTTAAACATCTTAAATTGCAGGGATGTCACAACCTCCCTTGCAATATTATCACAGTGCTAAACTATCCTTATAGTTAGAAAGCTTTTCCTAATATCTGACCTAAGTATCCCTTGCTGCAGTTTAAGACAATTACTACTTGTTCTACCTTCAGTGGATGTGTAGAACAGTTTATCACCATCCTCTTTATAATAGTCCTTACCATATTTGAAAACAATAATCTGACATTCTGAGAATGTCATGTGGAGCTTCTGCTTCTTAAAGCCTTATTAAAATCAACATATACCATGTCTACTACTTCCCCACTAGATCAGTAACCCTGTCAAAGAAAGAAATCAGTTTGGTTTGGCATGATCTGTTTTTGTCAAATCCGTGTTGGTTATTACTTATTACCCTGCTTATGCTGATTGGTCTATAATTCCCTTGTTCCCCCTTTAAAGATAAGTACTATGTTTGCCCTTCTCCAGTACTTTGGGGCCTCACCAATCCTCCATGAGGTTTTGAAGATAAATTTCTAATGGTTCCAAGATTGATTCTGCTAGTTTTTAAGTACCTCAGAATACATTTTATCAGGCCCTGCCAACTTGAATATATCTATTTTATCTAAATATTCTTTAACTTCTTCTTTCACCAGTCAGGCTTCTGTTCTTTCCCCTTTTACCACAACAGGCTCTCTCTCAAGATATTTTTGACATTACCTGCTTCAGGCAGAAATGCCCCCATACCTCCAAACAACCTCTTGTGATCTGGCATTTCGCTCTGGTTGGAACTAAGAAATACCAGAGTACATAATCTTAAACGGGAGTGGAGAACAGGGATACTTAAGCTTATTTTAAATAAGGTTTTGTTCCAATTAACAGTCTGGTTCCATTTAACGGCAAAATTAACGGTTGTCTCTTATTCACGAGTACTGGTTCTCATCCTTTGGAACAATGGGCCAGATCTTCAGGGATGACAGAGGAGTACAACACATAAGTCAGATGTGTGTGTGTGTAGGTGCGCGCACACAAAAAAGTGGCATGAAATTCACCTTTGCACTCTCCCAGCCCCACATTATCCTAAATGCAGTCCCAAGCCCCAGTCAAAAATTACATTGTCAGCAAACAGCTCCAAGTTGCCAAAACCATAGGTGGTGATTGGCAGCGGTTAGGGGCAACCAAGCCTTACCCACTTTTCTCCAGCTGTTTCTCTTTTATGGGAGATGGGTTAATACAGATATCTTCATGCTGGTTTACTATACTGTAGGAAGATTCCCACTTAGATTTGGGTTAAACCTCTCCCTCCCCAAGGGCAAAATAAGCTGGTTTATGGCCAGGATCGTTGAGCACAGTGGGACAAAGCTGCTGCAGCATAACATGTCTAATAGGTAAATTATTAGAAATGGATATTGACTGCTAGTTCTTGAAATGCTCACATAAAACTATGACAGGCTATTTCATTTGTGTGTAATACTTTACTGGGTTTGCTTATAGCAGTTACAGAAGACAATTTTTTTTTAAACTCATAGCTATGAGTGGATAGAACTTCTGGCACCTACCCAGACAGGTCACCATGAGCTGGATAATGTGACAATCTGTTATCATTAGCTCTGTTGGAAAGGTTCTGAAGACACTAGAGAGAATTAAATGACGCGGAAAACTCAGTCTATGGAAAAGTCTATTGTACTGATCTCCGTTATTTCCATCTCTATGCATCACTGGGATGGTGGAACAACATGATTGGTAGTGGTGAAAAATACAAAAGGTCATTTTTCAGTTTTCCTTTTAGCCAGAACAAACCATTGGAAGTTTGCTAATCTTCCCCACATAATATGTCTTGTTCTCTGAAGATTCTTCCATGCACTAAATATGTTAATCTTTGAAAAATCATCACGTTTGGAAGAAAGTTAAGAGCTCTCTATTTAAATAGCTAGCAAACGGTGTTTCTATTTCTGTCCTTCAGTGTTATGACTACCAGTATTTCTAGCTGTCTAAAATAGCAATGTACAGTGAAATACATTATATATCTAAGTTTAGAAACTGGTTTTTGCTAAATATTGTGATTATTTTCTTTTGAATTTTTAAAGCAAGGGAAGTTTCAAAACAAGAGTATTCTCCTATTGAACCTAACTACTGTCCCCTGCAGTGTGAAGCAGCAAATGTAGATGGAGGCTCTTAAAAAGGACTGACTTACAGTATTCTCAAATATACCTTGATGGCCACTGAAGTCTTTTTTTTTTTTTTTTAACACAGGTAATAATTTTGTGGTTTTGTCTGGGCAATTAGTTTGACATGAAGGGACAGTCTCTGATTTGCCCCAGCTACTGTCTGTGAATAGCACCAATGTACGTAATAGTTCCAGCTTTAAGAGGAGTCCCCAGCATGAGGAGGATCCTCATGCAGAGTAAAACCACAGCAGCAGCTCCTAAGTTAAGCATCCTGAGTCCCCAATATACATAGCAGGGGAAAGGAGGCAAGGCAAGAGCATCCTTATGCCTCAGTGATCCCTGGCTGAAGGGAATGGCTTTTGGAGGCCACAGGCAGGCAGTATAAAGTAGAGGAGCCCTGAGTCTGCTATACTTCACATTGATTAATGGGGTCAATGCTGAGCAAATTAGGATCAGGGAGTCAAAAAGGTGGTTGATAGCCTTCTGTCATAAATATAAAGGGAAGGGTAAACCCCTTGGAAATCCCTCCTGGCCAGGGGAAAGCTCCTCTCACCTGTAAAGGGTTAAGAAGCTAAAGGTAACCTCGCTGGCACCTGACCAAAATGACCAATGAGGAGACAAGATACTTTCAAAAGCTGGGAGGACGGAGAGAAACAAAGGGTCTGTGTCTGTCTGTAGTCGTCTTGGCCGGGGATAGACCAGGAATGGAGTCTTAGAACTTTTAGTAAGTAATCTAGCTAGGTATGTATTAGATTATGATTTCTTTAAATGGTTGAGAAAAGCATTGTGCTGAATAGAATAACTATTTCTGTCTGTGTATCTTTTTTGTAACTTAAGGTTTTGCCTAGAGGGGTTCTCTATGTTTTTGAATCTAATTACCCTGTAAGATATCTACCATCCTGATTTTACAGGGGGGATTTCTTTATTTCTATTTACTTCTATTTTTTATTAAAAGTCTTCTTGTAAAAAACTGAATGCTTTTTCATTGTTCTCAGATCCAAGGGTTTGGGTCTGTGGTCACCTATGCAAATTGGTGAGGCTTTTTATCCAACATTTCCCAGGAAAGGGGGGGTGCAAGTGTTGGGAGGATTGTTTATTGTTCTTAAGATCCAAGGGTCTGGGTCTGTAGTCACCTAGGCAAATTGGTGAGGCTTTTTACCAAACCTTGTCCAGGAAGTGGGGTGCAGGGTTTTGGGAAGTATTTTGGGGGGAAAGACGCGTCCAAACAGCTCTTCCCCAGTAACCAGTATTAGTTTGGTGGTGGTAGCGGCCAGTCCAAGGACAACGGGGGGAATATTTTGTACCTTGGGGAAGTTTTGACCTAAGCTGGTAAAGATAAGCTTAGGAGGTTTTTTCATGCAGGTCCCCACATCTGTAACCTAGAGTTCAGAGTGGGGGAGGAACCTTGACACCTTCATTACAGACCCACTCCTGACCTGTTCCAAGCACAGCTCAGGATCTAGCCTGAAAACCTGCCAAGATGTAGTCTTCCCACACATCAGTGGAAGCAATGTGATTTTTGCCTCAATAATCCCTTTCTTTAAGTGGTAAATTGGAAAATTATGTTTCATCCTCAGTAGAACTAAGAGACATAGCCAAACCTTGCTCCATCACATGTGACCAAAAAGTGAAGTCAATGTGGTGCATGGGGTGTCAGGATAGAATCTGGCCTCTATTGTCTGATATTATTATTACATAAGAAAGGAGGCATAGTAGTGCAAACCCAAAATACTGTACCTAGAGCTGGTCAACCCAAACCACGGAATCCAAACACACACCTAATTCTGAAGCTGGTCTGATCCAGATACTCATTCATGTAGTATGTACCTTTATAATGGGCAGAAATCCTAGATCCAAATACTCTCAAACTTAAAGGAAGTTTAGCTACAGACCTTATCTCTAAATGCATGGACACTGAATTTAAAATACTGCACAATATTATTGGTGAGCAGCAGTTATTTTCTATTTCATTTTTTGCATTGGTATCAAACTCCTCTTACCAGGTATGGTATATTGCACTTTGCATTAATATTTAAGAGAGGGAGAGAGCTTTTCACTTTGTAGATCATGGGAATCCTGCCATGGGTGTAAATCTATAAAAACATACTGATGCTGCCAACTCTTCAACAATATAAATTCATTTTGAGAGGGCTAAGCTAGTGATGGCTGCACCAGCTGCCATCAAAGTGTCTGCTTCCCAGGATCTCAGGCTGGCACTCCCTTTAATATATACACTATCCTTCAGTAAATCCCCTCCTGATATCAGGGCTAGTGTGCAGAATGCAGCTTCAAGTTAAACTGTCAATCTTTCAGCTGAAAGCTTTTAGTGGTTGCAACAACAGATCAGACACAAGAAAATGAATGAAATTGTATTGTATTTAAAGTGACACTGAATCTACTCTTGGTGGGTTCATCAGTTCTAATTCAGTTATGTCTGTTTGGAGTGCACCGTCTGTCTCATTTATTTCAATAGTTTCCATTCTTCCAATGTAATTCTCAATTAGTTGGGTAGGCAGGTAAAACATCTGACATTACAACAGTGAACTATGCACTTCCAAATCTGTTTGCACAGGCATGTGTTACACTTTAACAAGCTCCTTATCCCCAACCTGGAACTATGGTTTATTAATAGGTCAGCATAAAGGTTCTTCTCAAAAATTAATTAGAGGCATTTTGAACTACATGAACATAATTCATTCTGCTGGTGAATGATTAAGTACACCAGTTAACAGGTAACCATAGACATTTACTCTTTCATTCCATTTCCATCTGCTGATGCTTCCTCAATAAATGTAAATTGGATATCCATCATCCATCTGGATAATGAGCATCAGATCCCAACATCTCTTATCTACAGCTGTTGTACTGCATTGCTTTGCATTGCATTAGGCTGTCAGCAAGCACCATGCATTTACCCTGTTCATTAATGCAGTATATTGTATTTACTTGAACATGTATGAAAAATCACCTGAACTTAATTTCAGTATGCAAGAGGTTTGCTCCTGCATATATTAAACACACATATAAATACACAAATATACACACACAAGTATACAATATATGAAAATAAACACACAATACCAGTGGGCTTAGGTGAAATTTCAGAAATGATATGGGCCTGAACCAAAGTGTTTTACCTGAACATTTCCCTGTGGGCAAGTTATGATCTCAATCCGAACTTTGCAGCTGATTCCCATCATCTCAATAATAGAATGAATGAAAAGCCCAGGTCCAACCACATTCAGACTCTTGGGAAGTTGAGAAGCCAATATGAACTTGGTGTCTCAGGGCTGTCTCTAATAGTCTTCAGTAACTGAATTTACTAATCAGTTGCTATTTAACATGTAATTGCAATCTTATTAAATTTGAACAAATAGCTGTTTAATGAACAGTTAGATGTGTGTTACAACAATTAAAAATATAATCAATACATTTCCAATAAGTAAGTGGTATTAATTTCTATATACCAATTGACTATTCTTACCATATTCACCAAAGTTCCCAATGAAGTGGATGAGAATTTTTTTAAATGCATATTTCCTGGGCAGGCATGATCAACTTGTTTAGTCTAAAATTACCTCATTTGACTTAATTGTTCTATATATTGCTCCCTCTTACCATTGGATTTCTGATGGCAATAGTCTCAGCGACTGGCTTCAGTTTGGCAAGTACATAAATGCTTGAGTTTAGCACACTAACACATTTGAAATAAACTTGGTTTAAACATCCACTATACCTGAATTCAGCTATCAGCTGTATGGACAGAGCCCTCAAGGGGAAATAGTCTCAGCAGATAGTCCTTGTATGAGTGAAAATTGATGAAGACAAGGTGTTGAGCTGAGTCAAAAATTAGTCCTTTCAGGTAATCTGTTGAACAGAAAAAAAGTATATGATGTTATATTTGGAGCTGTCATTTAATCTCTCTTTTCATATGGAGACTGTCAGCTTTGTTATTTGACTTTCCACTATGACATTATTCCTGATATGTTGTGAGAGACAGCTGCTATAGCTACCTATGTGAACTAAGACATCGCCTCCTTTCTTGTTTCACAATGGGTACATTATCACGCTAATGTGACGGTGCTTTGTTTTATACCAGCAAAAGAGCAATGCTGTTTCTTTAAATTAGAAACAAAGGAGGAGTCTTCTTCCTCTTCATTTCTTCCTCTTTTTAATATAATAGGGCTGGGAGAAAATGGGTGTGTGTACTAAATAACCTACTATGATAAAATAGCCTCAAGCTATTGGATCCGACTACCTGTAATAGGAGAAGTAATCAGTTAATGTTAATTCTACTCTGGAGGTCAGTAAGATCCAGGTGGCATCTCACCTCCCCATTGCCACCATGTAGCCTTGGGAGGGGGGTGTGGGGTGGGGGGCGAATACAGAGAAGAGCTAGCAGAAACAGAAGCAGCCAAAGCAAGGAATTTTTTTTTTTTTTTTTACTTTTGGACATTCCAATGAAAACTGTAGGATGTTCTGACTGTCTGTGCTGACGGGCCATGTGCTTTAATCCTCCACCTTCCGGAGTCGCTTCACCTCAGCTTCACTCTACAGCTGCCTGTCCTTACACTCTTCTCCCTGGACTCTGATTTTCCTTTCCATTTAGCTCCTGCCCACCTAGCTAACCACCCCCCCCCCCAAAAAAAATACCCCAAAACAAAACATGGAACTAACACAACATTGGCCACCATTACATTGAATACTCTGCCTATGTGTTAGATTCCTGCCCCTATGCTAGGTCTGTCTTGTCTATTTGACAATACACTCTATCACTGCCTGGTACAATGCAGCCCCATGTTTAGCTGGCCCAAAGGCCCTGCCAAAATACATGTTAAATAATAATACTCAGATATTATTGTTGGATATTTAGGTGTATTTTTTGAGAGCGATATTCCTCTGTTCTTTTCCTAAAGTAGCTTTGGCCTTTTTTTTTTTTTTTTTGGTGACCCCTTGTAGGTAATACATAAGTACAACGGCTGCTGACTAAACACCTGGTTTAGACTATCCTACTCTAACCACATACCTTTGTGACTTCATGTAAGCTGCCTGGCCCAGGAAGAATCAATGTGACAAAGGATGTCAGGCCCTTAGCTCAGGGCACAAGAAACTTAAGCACAATACCATAACAAAGGAGTTTCTCTGCCTCACATAGGCTAGAGTTCCCAAAAGCTTTCCCTTCACCTCTCTCACCCCTTGCCCTGTCCCAGGGAGTCCCACAAGAGGCTTTCCACTCTTTGCAATATTCATACTCCAGGCCATCTGTCTGGGAGTCTTCTAGTAACTAGGATCATTCCTCTGTTTAAGGACCTGCTACAGAAGGCTATTTACTCCCCATAGTTCCCTAGCTCAGCGGAGCACTTGCTGGCCTTTATAAGGACCAGCTGCTCTTCAGGCTATCATCTGACCCTTACTCCAGAGCTTTAGCTGGGAGGCACTTGGAATTGAGCCCATCTCTTAAAGGAGGCACTTTGCTGTGGGGAAAAAGATATGCTATTTATCAGCACAGACACACAAATCCCTTTTTGGAATAGAGTCAGATTACTTATCTGCCTTGCAAAGCAAAAATCTGCTTAGTGTCATTTTTTATCTTGTCTTCTTACCCTATTATATACCTACACACACACACACACTTCAATCTTGCTTCATTTTTAGTAACTGCCTCAGGAAGAGATGGAACAAATGTTTTTGTTTATTAATGGGCCACAAACTTCTTTTCAGAAATAAACTTTTGTTGAAAAATTAAAACAAAAACAAGCAAGCATAAAAGAGTAACCTTCAGCTCTGGCCTGAATGTCACCATTACTGGACACATTAATGGAAGAAACCCACAGTTTGTAAAAAAATGGCAGCTGATAGAAACATCTGCTGATCACTCATGTCTGCAGAAGGTGTTCTATACAGTAGGTCTCGGTAATTAGAATGAAACAATAAATCATGCTTTTCACTTTCACAGCCATATAATCCAAGGGTTGCAAAACATTTCACAAACATTTTTTTAATACAGCCTCACAACAGCTCAGCTGCAGACTTCCCTCCTTCCCTATGCCACAAGACTACTGGTGTTGTTGAGTGAACAGGTTTCAGAGTAACAGCCGTGTTAGTCTGTATTCACAAAAAGAAAAGGAGTACTTGTGGCACCTTAGAGACTAACCAATTTATTTGAGCATAAGCTTTCGTGAGCTACAGCTCACTTCATCGGATGCATACTGTGGAAAGTATAGAAGATCTTTTTATACACACAAAGCATGAAAAAATGGGTGTTTACCACTACAAAAGGTTTTATCTCCCCCAGAGTGGGGTGGGGTGAGAGAAAACTTTTTGTAGTGGTAAACACCCATTTTTTCATGCTTTGTATGTATAAAAAGATCTTCTATAATTTCCACAGTATGCATCCGATGAAGTGAGCTGTAGCTCATGAAAGCTTATGCTCAAATAAATTGGTTAGTCTCTAAGGTGCCACCAGTACTCCTTTTCTTGTTGAGTGAACAGGGAATTGAGAGGGGAAGGAGGTGGAGGAGCAGAGATCCACAGACAGGCTATATAGCAAGAGTCTTGCTCTGCACTGCTGGGCAATCTCTCATGGCAGCATGTAAGCCTAGTATCCATGTTGAATTGTCTCACCACTTCCAGCTTTACTCTGTGACTGACTCTCCGGGGAGGGTGGGGGGAAGGTGTCACAGAGTGCTAAGTGACAGTTAATGCAGCCTCAAGTCTCTTTATCATAGCCTGTGATTTATCTCTGGTACAGGCTGGGAGGTAGTATACTTCTTAGTGCAGTTTCTACCCTCCCACACAAACACTCCTGCCCCTGATGTTTTTTCTTCACTACCTTGTGATCACATGCCTATTTGAGAAAGTGGGAAAGGCAGCCTCAAGGAGAATGGAGGAAACTCACTTAGCTGCTTTACCCCTTCATAGGAACCCACTACCATTTTCTCTGTGGATTTACTCCTCTCCACATCATGCATCAGCAGGGAAGATATAGGTTGTGGGGAGACAACTCCACAGTATCTACAAGCTTTTGAACTTGAGTTTCCCCCAATAGAGAGTGCTCTAGCCACTGGGCTGTGGAACTTGCCTCTTGAATCTGTTCCACTGTGTGTAAATAATCAAACAGTCATTGGGCCAAAGAGTGAAACTGTGGGAGATCCAAGTTCATGTCCATGTGCTAATGATTCATTATTTATACTCAGCAGAGCTGCTTCAACAGGAGAGATTGGGACAGAGTCCCCGCCGTATACCCCATAGCCCAGTGGCTAGGGCAGCACTACTTACAGTGTAGTGGGAGTTCAAATCCCTTCTCCACATTAGGTGAGGGGAGCAATTGAACCTCAATGTCCCACATCCCAGCTGAATGTACTAATTGGAGGGCTAAAGCTTAACAGGGAGGATCCTCCTCTTGCCATTTTGTGAATCCGGCCCTTGAAAATGCCCAGCAACAAAATGCTTCAGGTCAAATGAAATGTTTTTTTTAGGCCCCAAAATAGAGTTTTTCAATTCAACAACATTTTTCAGAATTTACAAATCAAATTTAGTTTTTGTTTTTTTAGCACTGCCAGTGAATTGAAAAAAATCAATTATTTGCATAGGTCTAGTTACACTTGCTTAAAATATTTTATCTTCCTATCTACTGATATCAAAAGACTAGGAAAAATCCTTTGAGGGAAGTCTGGGACTGTAAATGGAGTTCATGGCAAACATAAACATGCTGCTGAATTCAATGTCTACTGAAATGTTTTCATAATCAAACCTAGTAAAATAATCAGTAGGCGGGGTGGGCGGTGCTATTCTGATTAAAAAACAAACAAACTTGTGCCCCTTTGAATAAGGGTGTTTTGATAGCAAAGGGCCCAAGCCAACAAGTTTGGATCTGGATTCACAGTTCCCCAAAGTTTGGATCCTTGGGTTTAGATTCCTGGGTGTGGTTCAGAGCCACTTCTATTCTCAAGACAACCATCTTAACCTATAAAGATAGACATCTACTGACATTAAGTATATTAAGATTCTGAATGTGCTAGGTTCTTCATCATGCTGGGACATAAATTTTGTATCAAGGCTCCCTGAATATTGTGTCACACGAGTGCTGCATTCACGAGTAGACTGTTAGTTTTGTGGTAGCCCAAGTGGAAAACGAGTTATAGCGAGCAGTTATCACTGAATTAGATATTAATATGAACAACACAATCAGTACTAGAATCGTTAATTCAATAAACTCCGATGGTTTTTGCATTTTTTTCTCTCTCCATAGATCACAGAGATGTGCAGCAAACTGGAAATTTCACAAGTCAGGTGCTGTAGTCTGGCTGCCAAATTTACGGTCTTAGAAAGAAGCGATAGTTCTTTCTAGCTTCTAGGATAGGGCAAAGGATTCCGATGCCCCACCCCTCCAACCACACTGCCTAATGGTTGGTAACTTGCCCCTCATCTCCTTCAGCGTGGTTTGACAGGAAGAGGTGGAGGCCTCCTTTATTATTTCCTTTCACCATGTGCTCCAAATATAACATTTATTAATTATTATTATTATTATTATTATTTATTGGCTGCTCTACAGTACTTTTCATCAGTACATGTCAAAGCACTTTACAAAGGAGGTCAGTACCATTATCCCCATTTGTACGCATGGGAAAACTGAGTCACAGAGAGATGAAGTGAGTTGCCCAAGGTCACCCAGAAGGCCAATAGCACAGATTAATGGAGGTGAAGTTTTTAGTGAGCCTCTCCCTCAACCTGCATGATCCAGCGACCTGTGCAAGAGTTTGGTAGAGCAAAGGGACAGATTTTGGCAGGGCAAAACTCTGCATTGGGAGCTAATTCCCAGAGTTAACTCTGCAGCTGCAGACACATGATTCTAATTTGAATATATT